CATAATATAATGTTTTTATTGTGCACTAATGATCAAGGAGAGGGAACTTGTTATAACAATTTATTTAATGAGGTATTGCTAGGCTCGACGAGGCGCAGGTCTCTCATCAACCTTGCACACAKTCATAATAATATATTGATCACTCCCTTCTCCTCCTAGAAAACTCAACCGCCACTCCCTTCTTCACAGTTTACTCTTTTACCCTTAACGCCGGTGAATTTTGATAAGGTGTCAACTTACGATTAATATATTTCTTTGACCTAGATCGCGATTTTTTATACATTTTAAATATTATTAATAATGTATAACACTATAATATATAATTTTTTGTTGCTTCCAGGAACGTATTTTTTGCTGTACGATTTTGTCGATTTCTTCGACCGGACGTCGGCTACCGCATTGCCCAGAGAAAAATTTGTGCAAATAGTCAACGTAATATTTAAAGACAGAACACAACTGGAAAGAGACGCAATTATATATCAGGTAAAATTACGATTTTCCGCGCGTTTATGAGTAAATGAAAATATTCTTTAAAAATAAAAATAAAATAAATAAATAGGCGAACCATTATGCAGATACGGTCTCATATAAATATTCTATTACAAAATGTAAAAAGAAAAAGTTACCTATTATTCATGTAAAAGCGTCATTACGAGAACTATAAAAAACTTCAATTTTATTGTACGAGTATGCATAGTAACTGAAATGTAAATATTTTAAAACCAACATTATACAAGTGTTTCTTATTATAACGGACATTGAATATGCGAAAATAAATGAAAAAATGTACCTAAATAAATTTTCCGTTAGAAAGCACACGGTGATCGTGTATAATACTTATCATATATTAGGTAATATTATTACACTAATAGGTAAGTACATACATATAATATTTAACTTCCGAATAGACACAATACGCATGTTTAGAGTATAGAAATCACCCCAAGATAATAATTATTGGTGTCTTCGTGTAACCCRGCACTGCATATAACTATATATTATAATAAGGTGTATAAATTAAACAAAATATAATGAAGTATATAGAAGTATATATTTCTATATCAAACGAATATTCAAAAAGTTGAAATATGATTAATATTTTTACCATCAGGATTTAAATAGATAATTACCAATCATACATTTTTCTAAGACGCATTTATGACTCTGAAAATAACAYTACATAAAAATTGTATTGTGTACGCAGGGCCGGTTATAGGTTTAGGCGACGTAGGCACAAGCCTACGGCGGCAAATTTTATAACTATATAGAGGCGGCATATAAGAAAAAATTAAATATCTTATTTTTCACATTTATTTTAGATTTTAACAAATTTCAAAGTACAATATACAAACATATTGTATGTGACCATAGTAAATTTTATTTTCATTTCTTTATAATATTTCTAATGTTAATAATTATGAACATTTAATGAAGTGCTGTAAAGATCTTCAGCTAGCACTTTCTTCAAATGACGGTTTAAATTCTGATATAAATTCTGTTGAACTTTGTGAAGAAATAAAYACATTACAAAAACATTTGAAAAATGAAAATGATCCAAAAGCAAATTTTACAATTTATATGTGAAAACAAATTAATAGAATTATTTCCTAATGTATACGTAGCTCTAAGAATTTTATTAACATTACCAGTAACTGCAGCTTCAGCTGAAAGAAGCTTTTCAAAATTAAAAATTGTAAAGAACTAT